TTCTAAGTTCTGTTATAATTTATATAGTTTTTGTTAAAGCATGAACCATATTTTATAGAAAAATATCAAAAAAATCATAGCTTGAAAAACATTGTAAATATTAAAAACTGAACATCCATTTTTGGCCGCCACTGTACATTAGAGTGGTCCAAAATAATAAAGTTCGAATTTTAATGCCGCCACCCCCTAGGATTGTTCTGAACCGAAAATAAATATACCCCTATTTTTTTATTTTGAAATCAAAAAATATTTAGGGAGTGCTCACAGCGCTCAAAATTTTCCATGTATTTTATATGGGGAAAAAACAAATTTTCGTAAAAATGGCATAAAACTCTTGAAAATCAATATGTTTCAATCGTAAAACTGTGGTTCTCTTCAGGAGACTTCAAATATTGATATCCAATTGTTTATTTAACCATTTTTTATGATTAAAGATTTTTTATTGGTCCCCCCATTGCATTTTCAAGGACCCATAAAATATAGTCACCATGAAAAAATTGTTAAAGGAACAATTGGGTATTATTACTGGGAATCTCCTGAAGATAAGCAAAATATTGATTTTCAAGAATTCTACACTATTTCTACGAAAAGTTGTTTTTTCCCCATATAAAATACATTGAAAACTTTGAGCGCTTTGAGCACACCTTAATTTTTTTTTTTTCAAAAAAAAAAAATAGGGGTATAATTTTTTTTGGTATAGAACAATCCTAAGGGATGGCGGCATTAAAAATGCGACCTTATTTTTTTTACATATATTTTTGGACCACTTTACTGTACATACATATGTGAAAATTACGTGATTGAGGAAAATATAACTCGCGCACACAAAAGCTTCAATCACGCACGATCACGGATATTACGTGATTTTTCCATTTTGTGTACGGATTTCTACGACATGTATGTGGTTATCAGGGCCGGCTCGGTTTTCGGTTCGTCCCAATCGCCACTCGATGGGGGGGAGCGAATCTTCTTTGATCACGACCTGCTTGGCTGAGGATCGCGTTGTAGGGTTTTCCAGTTCTATCTCTTCTGAATATCTTTGAGGTAATTTTCTTTCCAGCGGCGACTAAATTGGTGGTGAAGAGCTTTGACTTTCTCCCACCGGTTTAATAGGGGGAGGTGTTCCGCATTAGGCTCGGGAATGGCCAAAAGCGGAGCACCTCGAATGAAGTGACCCGTACTGCTGTCATATCAACTGGGTCTTGGGAAAGTGGGGGCAGAGGCCTCGAGTTGAGGACTGCTTCAATTCGCACCAGCAGCTTCGTGATTTCTTCAAAGGTAAACTTGTGGGTTGCAGCAGTTTTCTTTAGATGGATTTTGAAGCTTATCACTGCAGATTCCCACAAGCCGCTTATGTGGGGGGCGCTGGGTGGTATATATTGCCAGTTGATGCGTTGAGGGGCATATTTTTTGACAATGTCTGCGGAACATTCGTTGAACGTTTTTCCATTGTCGCTCTTTATTTTTGAGGGGAAGCCTCGTCTGCCAACAAAGCGGGCGAATGCTGCTCGAAAAACCTCGGTTATAAGATTCGAACATGGCTCGAGATGCATTACCTTTGTGGAAAAACAGACAAAAACTGCAACGTATCCCTTGATAAGGGTGGTAGATCTTAGCACCGATGCTTTAATTTGGAATGGCCCTGCAAAATCTATTTCAGTTGTAGAAAAGGGGAGTGAGAAACTGCCGCGCTCAGGGGGTAGAGCGGTTATTGTTTGGGTGCGTGTTAGTTGCTTGTAAAGCGTGCACACTTTGCACTAAAGGATGCATTTTTTAATCAGAGGTTTTAGCTTTGGTACGTAGTACTCTTGCCTTACCATTTGGAGCATTAGTCGGGTATCTGCGTGAAGAAGCAGCGAGTGTAAAAACTCCGAATAGAGCTGGCGGAACATCGATTCGGTAGGGAGAATTATTAGGTGCCTTTCATTATAGCTCAACGTGGAATGTGCTAATCGGTCATTAACCCGTAGAAGTCCGTATTTGTCCAAGGAAGGATTGAGAACAAGAAGAGGACTTTTTTGATAATGGGCCTTTTATCTTGCAAAGCGCTTTTTTCGCTTGGGAAATTGCGTTGATAAGACGTATTTTTGCATATTGAAATTCGTTATGTGCCAGATGAGGATTAGTGATTGTAGCTAACCCCTTTGATTTATGGCGGGCAATGTTCACGAAGCGGAACATGTACGTAGTCACGCAGAGTGCTCGAGAGAAAGAAGAAAAGCGATCAAGAAAATCGACCTCTTTTTCGAGCGCGCATGCCTTTGACCTTGGCCATGCATCCATGTGGCAAGAGAGCCCTTTTGGTCCGCGCCACCAGAGTGGGGAATTTGCCAAGCCCTGCGGTTTGCAATCACGGGTCGGTTGGAATATCTTGGCTGGCAACATGGCGCCATGTACCGGTTGGAAGATATTCCCGGATTTGGAGGGTACGATTGAATACGTTTGTGTTCCATGTACATTGTGGGTTTTCAAGCCAAGCTAGCTCAATCTCTGAATCTGACCATAAGAATGTGTTGCACGATTCCACTTTGAGCTGTTTTCGAACAGCTGCGACCAGTTTTGCGAGTAAGACTGCACCACAAAGCCTNAAAACAGACAAAAACTGCAACGTATCCCTTGATAAGGGTGGTAGATCTTAGCACCGATGCTTTAATTTGGAATGGCCCTGCAAAATCTATTTCAGTTGTAGAAAAGGGGAGTGAGAAACTGCCGCGCTCAGGGGGTAGAGCGGTTATTGTTTGGGTGCGTGTTAGTTGCTTGTAAAGCGTGCACACTTTGCACTAAAGGATGCATTTTTTAATCAGAGGTTTTAGCTTTGGTACGTAGTACTCTTGCCTTACCATTTGGAGCATTAGTCGGGTATCTGCGTGAAGAAGCAGCGAGTGTAAAAACTCCGAATAGAGCTGGCGGAACATCGATTCGGTAGGGAGAATTATTAGGTGCCTTTCATTATAGCTCAACGTGGAATGTGCTAATCGGTCATTAACCCGTAGAAGTCCGTATTTGTCCAAGGAAGGATTGAGAACAAGAAGAGGACTTTTTTGATAATGGGCCTTTTATCTTGCAAAGCGCTTTTTTCGCTTGGGAAATTGCGTTGATAAGACGTATTTTTGCATATTGAAATTCGTTATGTGCCAGATGAGGATTAGTGATTGTAGCTAACCCCTTTGATTTATGGCGGGCAATGTTCACGAAGCGGAACATGTACGTAGTCACGCAGAGTGCTCGAGAGAAAGAAGAAAAGCGATCAAGAAAATCGACCTCTTTTTCGAGCGCGCATGCCTTTGACCTTGGCCATGCATCCATGTGGCAAGAGAGCCCTTTTGGTCCGCGCCACCAGAGTGGGGAATTTGCCAAGCCCTGCGGTTTGCAATCACGGGTCGGTTGGAATATCTTGGCTGGCAACATGGCGCCATGTACCGGTTGGAAGATATTCCCGGATTTGGAGGGTACGATTGAATACGTTTGTGTTCCATGTACATTGTGGGTTTTCAAGCCAAGCTAGCTCAATCTCTGAATCTGACCATAAGAATGTGTTGCACGATTCCACTTTGAGCTGTTTTCGAACAGCTGCGACCAGTTTTGCGAGTAAGACTGCACCACAAAGCCTTAGGCGTGGCAAGCTTACCGTCTTCAATGGTGCGACTTTGCTTTTTGCAACCAAGAGAGTGGAATATCTTTGGGTGCTAGCATCTACGCGGTTGTAAATCGCTGCGCAATATGCTTTTTCCGAGGCATCGCAAAACCCGTGGATTTGGGTATCTTGCCCCGGAGTGAAGTTAACCCATCGAGGGATTTCGATGTGGCAGATGGCTGGCAGATTTTCTGCGCACCGTTGCCATTTTCTAAGGATATGGGTTTGTCACATTCGTCCCAGTCAACGCCATCTATCCAAAGTTCTTGAAGCTGGAATCATCACTGGCTACAGCCATCTTTTCGTGTCAAAAAGTTTTGCGACAGAGGATATGATTTGTCGCTTTGTGACGGCAGTCGATGTCGATGCAGGCAGAATGGTGTAGGAAAATTTATCTGTCAGTGCGTTTCATTGTATACCAAGAGTTTTGGTTGTGGAAGCGCTCTGAAATTTCAAAAAGTTAGAGTCGAGAAGATCCTCCTTTGGAAATTTTTCTAAAATGGCCGGATGATTGGCCGTTAGTTTCTTGAGTATGAAACCAGCTGACTTTAGCGCTTTGATCACTTGAACAAGTGATTCAGTGGCGTTGTCAATATCTTGACTTCCGGAAAGTATGTCATCCTCAAGCGTTTCTCTTTTAAGCAATGCAGCCAAGGGAAACGTCGCTATCGTGTCAACTGCTAATTGATGCTGGGTACGGATAGCGAGGTATGGTGCACAATTAATGCCGAACGTTATGGTTTTAAGATTTTAATCGGTGACATGAGAGTCAGCCGATGTGCGAAAGAAGATTCGCTGAAAATCTTTATCGTCCTCGTGGATGAGTATTTGATGATACATTTTTTCAATGCCTCAATTGAACACGAATCCGGCTCGAAGGACCATGAATATTTCTAATGGTTGCCTTTCGCACTCACCTCTTTAGAAACTTTATTTCCACTTAAAGGAAACACTTTTGGTTCGACTTAGTGAGGTAAAAATATTTCGCTGTTTATTTGTTCACAGTAATTCTCCAAATTTATCTAAATATATGTGCAGAGCTTACTAATTAAATATATTTCAAACTCGTATTGATTTCAAATTCGAGTTACTTCTGATAAGGGCGCGTGCGCGTAGACTGGAGTTAATAGCTGAACTAATTTTCGTCTAACTTGGCACGACGCTGGTAGGCGGCCGTGCACGCTCGGGAATCATTTTTCGGAGTCGCCTCGACATCGCTGCGGCCAAATGATGCGTGCACGGCCGCTGAATTGAGTTTAAGCGGCGGCTTAAACACAAAGAAATACTTAGAATTTACGCCCTCGTAAAACTAATGTTGTTTCAGTGTTGCCACTTTGTAAGTAATTCCACAAAACGTGAGGAATTTCGGGTGCGCTTGAGTATTTTTTGAGGATTTTTATTCTGAGGAATTTTTTCTCAATATATTTGCAGACTAGCAGACCCGGCGAACTTCGCCCCGCCCAAAATTTTTATATATTTTATTGAACCTTTTTGGTCCAACATTTTCACCAACAATTCACGTTTACGATTTTCAGTGGCACATTTGTCTGCTAAGATTAAGGTTTGGTGGTCATTTGCCGCTTTAAATAACCTAAGGAAAGTGTTATATCCGTTCTTGAAATTCTCCAGTTGTGCGGCATTTCATAGCACGGTTATTCGCAAAGCGAAATAAATTTTTTCCTCTTCACTCCCTGGCGGCAACAATGACCCGGTTCTATAGTGAATGTCCTAGAAGCTTTACAGTATAGTAGGTGGCAATTTCAAAATGGGTGCGAATCATTGTTCTACAGAAATGCAATATACATATACTTATTTCAGACGAAATACCTTAAAAGTTTGAACGCATAATAATATTGGAAAATCACATCCATTGGGCCAATTGCAACGCAGGAGCGTTCGATATACTCAATGGTGCAACAGGTCGATTTAATCTGACCTTCACGGCCCCTTTTCTCACTTGGCTATTTTTAGTAATAGCTCGACTTCAGCACCACTTGGCAGCACGTTTTTGCAATAGTATTGCATACATATTTAAAACATTAGCCAAATCGGATCATAAATAAGATTTTTAGTAATAACTCAACTACAGCGCCAACTGTCGGATTAAATTGTGAAACTAAACCATCCAGAGACCCACTCAAATACACAAAAAGTTTCGTTAAAATCCGTACAACCATTTAGGAGGATTTCACTCACAAACACACCTACAGAAGAATAAAAAAATTCATTCAAAGATAGCTAAAGGTCGGTACGTTTGTAGGCCTCACACCTTTTTTCAAATAGCCCAAGTTTTCTCCATGAGCATGGACTTGATATCAACTATATACATATCTCCATACGAAGTTCCAGTACTGTACCATGAATACTTTCAGAGATATGCAGTATAAAAATTCGATTTATATGGGAGGAGCCACGCCCCCCTTTCCAACAGCTGCCCTCTTTCTTCATGAGTATGCGATTGATTTCGTATATCTCCATACCAAGTTCCAGAACTCTACCATGAACACTTCCAAAGATAGGCAGTATGAAAAATTCGGTTTGTATGGAAGATGCCACGCCCCCTTTTCCAATAGTTCCAATTTTTCTCCAAGAGTATGCGATTTATTTCGTACATCTCCATACAAAACTCTAGAACTCTACCAAAAAATTTCCAGAGATAAGCAGTATGAAAAATTCGGTTTGTATGGGAGATGTCACACCCCTTTTTACAATAGCTAAAATTTTTCTCCAAGGGTATGCGATTGATTTCGTATATCTCCATACCAATTTCCAAAACTCTACCATGCACACTTTCAGAGATATAAAGTATGAGAAATTCGGTTTGTATGGGAAGCGCCACGCCCCCTTTACATATAGATTTTTTTCAGCATAAAACCATCCTTGGGACACGTGCGGCAGGTGGCAGTTTCAAAAAAATCGGTTCAGCCGCTCTCGAGCCTTGCGAAAACTAACAAACGGCTTTCTAAATATATATTAGTTGAGATATATTATATATTATAATTATATTTTGACAGTATCCGTTGTTTCTGATTGGCGCAAAAAAATCTTGCCTAGTGACGAATTCGCCCCTTGATATGGTCGTTACTTAAAGCTATTTATATTCGAAATTGCATGAAAATTGGAAAACAGGAATCTATAAGCTTATCCAGGCAAAAAGCTACCAACGTACCGAATTTTAAGCAAATCGGACCATAAATACGAATTCTTCGAATAGATCAGTCCCTGGTCCACTTCTCGGAAAAAATGGACCATATATCCTAATATATGCTAAAAAACTACTTACGTACCGCATTTTAAGCAAATCGGACCATAAATGCGATTTTTTGGAATAGATCGGTCCCTGTTCCACTTCTCGGACAAAACGGATCATATATGCTAATACATGCTAAAAAGCTACCTACGTACCGAATTTTAAGCAAATCGGACCGTAAATACGATTTTTTCGAATAGATCAGTCCCTGGTCCACTTCTCGGAAAAAATGGGTCATATATGCTAATCTATACATATAATAAAATTGTAACAGGTCGATGTCTGTACATTATAGATATTAAAGCAAAATTAATGTGGAGGGTCTTTTTTAGAGCATCAGAACCCAAATCAAGCATTTTTAGAATTTTTGTCTGTCTGTCTGTCTGTCTGTCTGTCTGTCTGTATGTTTGTTCGCGCATCACTCGAAAACGAATGCATGGATTTGAATGCAGTTTTCACCGATGTATTGCTAGAGGTCTAAATTAAAATTTAGGAAGAACAAAAATTAGAGAGTTGCCACCTGTTTGAAAATTGGAGTTTAAGTAAATTGATAAGAAAAAATGAATATTGCAATATGGGCGTCAAAAGAAAGAGAATTAAGAAGGCTTACAGCCAGAAATATTTTTTTAGAGTTGCCACCTGTTTGAAATTTTACATTTAATTTAATTTATAAGATAAATTGAATATTGCAATATAGGGATCAAACTGAAAGGGTTTAGGAAATTATACTGCCGAAAATATTTTTAGGGAGGGCTGCCACCTGTTTGAAAAATTTTATTGAATTAAATGATAAAATAAATGAAATCTAAATCTACATCTAGATATCTATATCTATACATATAATAAAATTGTAACAGGTCGATGTCTGTACATTATAGATATTAAAGAAAAATTAATGTGTGGGGTCTTTATTAGAGCAGCAGAAGCCAAATCAACCAATTTTAGAATTTTTGTCTGTCTGTCTGCCTGTATGTTTGTTCGCGCATCACTCGAAAACGAATGCATGGATTTCAATGCAGTTTTCACCGATGTATTGCGAGAGGTCTAACTTAAAATATAGGAAGAAAAAAATTAGATAGCTGCCACCTTTTTGAAAATTGGAGTTTAAGTAAATTGATAAGAAAAAATGAATATTGCAATATGGGCGTCAAAAGAAAGAGGCTGAAGAAGGCTTACAGCCAAAAATACTTTTTTAGAGTTGCCACCTGTTTGAAAATGTACATTTAATTTAATTTATAAGATAAATTGAATATTGCAATATGGGGATCAAACTGAAAGGGGTTAGGAAATTATATTGCCGAAATATTTTTAGGGATGGCTGCCACCTGTTTGAAAAATTTTATTGTATTAAATTGATAAAATAAATGAAATCTATATCTACATCTATACATATAATAAAATTGTAACAGGTCGATGTCTGTACCCTATAGATATTAAAGAAAAATTAATATGGTGGGTTTTTATTTAAGCTACAGAAGCCAAATAAACAATTTTTAGAATTTTTGAATCTCTGTCTGTCTGTATATTTGTACGCACATCAGTCGAAAACATGGAATTGAATGCAGAGTTTTCACCGATGTATCGCTAGAGATCTAGCTTCCAATATAGAAGAAGAAATTAGAGAGTTGCCACCTGTGTTTAAAATTTCAGTTTAGGTCAATTGATACGGTAAAGTGAATACTGCAATATGGCTGTCAAAAGAAAGAAATTTACAAAGGCTTACAGCTGAATATATTTTTGGGGAAGGTTGCCACCTATTTGAAAACTTTAATTTAATTTAATTGATAGCATAAATTAAATATTGCAATACTGGCATCAAACTAAAGAGGCTAGGAAATTTTAATGCTAAAATATTTTTAGGGGATTTGCCATCTGATTGAAAAATTGTATTCATTAAAATTTGTAAAATAAATGAAATATTCTTGAAGCGGGTTTGAAAACTTTAATTCAGTTAAATTTATAATATAAACTAAGTGTTGCCATATGGGATTCAAACGAGAGTATTTGAGAATATGTTAAAGAAAAATTAATAGGGCTTATTAGATCAACAGAAGCCAAATATAAAATTTTGGTATGTTTGTCTGTATGTTTGTAAGCGCATCACGCAAAAGCTAATGTATGGAGTTAAATGCACTTTTCACCGATGTACATATTGCTAGAGCTTTAATTGAAAATATAGAATCAATTTTTTTTTGTTATAGTTTATCGTCGATCATTATTCCTAGGTATTTGAACGTATTAACTTTTTCTAGTGTGTCGTAGTTTATATTTAGAGTTAGCAACGGACCGTTCTCAAAATTTCGCCTTGATATAACCACAAACTTTTTTTTCTGTGTGGAAGGTTTTTCGTTGTTGCTGCCAAAAAATTAAGAAATCTGAGACGTCACGTTTAACAATTTCATACAGTTCTCTTTACAATGTATTTCACTAAACTACTAAACGGCTGCACCGACTTGGTTCATATTTGGCCACACCTTGAAAATAAATATTCTGACCAAAAATTTACTCGTATGTAGCTCGAGATATTCCTAAAATTCTTATACAGACTGAAACGTAAAAAACCAATATATCTCTAAAACCAATTACGCTGGGAAACTGAACTTAGCACTGGTGCATATATTGCAAATGCATTGGGAAAGGAGCGTGGCTCCTTCCTTCCATACAAACTGAACTTCCCATATAGCTTATCTCTGAAACTACTTACGCTAACGTCCTGAAATTACACTACTTTTATCATACCGACTAGCGAAGTTTTTTGAGTCATCGATATACATTACGTAAGCGCAATTCATGATTGGAACTTCTCCTAGATTTCTAAATCCCATTGAAATATTGTAACTTTGTTTTTAGTTTTTAGTAAAAGGTAAAATTTATGTGAAAATTTTGAAGAATTTTTTTAAATTTTGCACAAAGAATGGAGCTTTGATTTTTCGGGTTTCGTTATAGACTGCCCTATACCTACATACCTATTTGCATAAAATGATAGCCGTTTTCGTTGTTCGGAATAAACTCAAAAACCACTGAATAGAGTTCCGTCAGATTGTCGGAGGTTATCTGACATACAATTATTACATGCTACTAGAAAACTCGCTAGGTGGTGCTGGAGTAGAGTTATTTATAAAAATCGTATTTATTAACCGATTTCGTTCAAATTTTAAATGTGAGCTATGTACCTGTATGATGGAAAATTCTTTTGATAAAAATTTACCCAATTAGTGCCGCTGGAGTTAAGGTTGAAATTCATAACACGTATTCATTTTGTGGTAAGCAATGGTTTTACAGAAAATGAACCCAATGGATGGCGCTGCAGCCGAAATGTATAGAAACCCCGTGGTTGGTCTGCTTTGGCCCTATGTTAAGTTATACGAATTTAGTTTTCAGATGTCTAAATGAAGGATGGGGTTAAGTTTGTAAAAGTGGTGAATTAACAAGGAAAGATCACCGTAGGTATATCAATTGCTCCATTTGAAAGATACTAAAGAGATCACACGACTCATTTAGCAATGTACCGGAAAACTTTTCATCCTATATGACAGCAAGGATTCTTGGCCCTCCTATAACAGAAAACTCACTTCTGTGCTCTTGAGTTTCTCTATAAGAACTTTTATTGGCATACGCATCGCACCAATTGTAGTTCGCATAAAAGTTCGCATGCTTGGCAGAGATCTCACGAGTGGAAATAAGACCATTGATAAAGCTCATGACACCAAAAGGGATAGGTATTCCATATGGTATCACAGCGTTACTATTATTGGCCTATGTGTGAGGAGGATACTGCACCTTAGTGGTTTCAACTTAAATCAAAAATTTTGACTTTACAGACTAATTTTGTTTTTAAACGCTCTTTTGCATTGGCCAACGAAAAGCTCTTATTAGGCGCCGCGAAGTAAGCGGGCATTGGCTAGTGTTAAATAAAAGCTTGTTTTAAAAAAATATTTTTTTTACATTATTTTATTTTGAACTTTTTAGTTTTATTTTATATAACCAGGACTTAATATTTTTATTAAGGGCTGACTCTCCATTTATGAGCGTATTACATATAATATAAGCGGCGTAAATCTTTTCGATCATCTGTTTAGGCTGAGCAAAACACGTTGAGTTCAGGTAGCGAAAAAATTGTACGATGGAAAAATGGCGGAAAGTTGGCAACTGTTGAACTGAGCGGAACTACTCAACTGTGCGTTTCTAAGACAAACAGTCTACGGTTAGACAATATGAACGCGCCGAGTGTCACGAATTAGGAGCATAATCAGAAACAAGTCGGTGTGTTATTTAATTTAAGCATTCAGATTAAGTACAAACCACACACCCGGTAGGTGCTCTACAGAATTTCGTATAGAAATATCCCAAGGTTAACAGCTGATTTATTCAAACTAATTTCCGGTATTTTATCTTACCAAGGAACTCACAATAGAATCTATCATGCCACTGCCTAAACCTATCGTGCATAGTTGCGCCGGCAAATTACGCTCTGCTATCACTAGCAGTAGTGAACACGCTGTAAAGAAGCTGTTAAGCAAGGATCGCACGATTTGTACATTTGTACAGATTTGTACATTTTGGCAGCCACAGAGTGGTGTTGTCTAGAAATAATGAGTTAAGCTCAATAACAACTTTCAAACAACACCACTCTGTAATTGTTAAAATGTACAAATATTGTGATCCCTTCTTTAGATGAAGATAAACATAGGGAGCTGCGAAAATGTTAAAATTTAAATCTAAGTGCATAGTATACATTTAGGTTGTATGCTTGATGTGTATGTGGAGATTCTTGCAAATTATTTTGAAACTTATACACACACATGTATGCACAGCAGCAAGCTCATGCCACTAACAGCGATATTGTATGCATAGAATTTCTACTGGGTATGTATGTAAGTTAACTATATACAAATGTATATATGTATATCCATACATGAGCAAATATGCCATATGGATTACACCGCGCGGTACCATACCGCTGCTGCTTGAGCAAACCTTTATAATGAAAACAGCTCTTATAAAGATTTTATTTTCTTGCTTTAAAGAGAAAAGTCCTTTATATGTAAAGTCTATCTTAAACTGAAGCATTTTCATCTAAGCTAGGGGCCCGTTATTGATTTTGATATTTTAGTAAAAGTCGTTATAAACCATTTATGAGATTGAAAGTTAGTGAGTGAGAGAGTTAGTGAGTTATCTATACAAATTCTATGGATCTAAGATATATTATTTTGTAATTTTTAGTCCATTTATAAAAGCGTTGTATATTAAAAAGTATAATTTTATTTTATGTACAAAATTTTGCAATAGATATTAAATAATTAATGGCGTGTCGTCCATTTCCGCTGTAGCGTATGTAAATGGTGCATATATTTAGGAGCAATATTTAACTTCTTCTGGCGGGGCGACATCTGGAGTCTTCTAATTATATCTCCTTGATATGATGCCTACAACGAGGTTGATATCTAGAATTTGCAACAACTAGCTTTGCTACATTACTGCCGGCAGCTTTAATAATTTTATAGTGGTTTTACGTTCTTTGGCAAATTACGCTCTGTTAGCCATAAATCTTACTATTTTTTAACCGCCTTTGAATCAAGACCCCTGGACAATATAAGGAATTCATATATATTTTAAATTGCATTGTCATCCTGATTGGAACTATGCTGAAAATTTCAAGTCTCTAAATTGTCGGGAAGTTAATTTAAAATCGATTGGAAATTTCCGCGATTTCCGCGGGATGACCAAGTTAAATAAAAGCTTGTAAAGAACTGGATTTCTCTGAACAAACCAAGATAAACATACAGGGCTATCACGGAATCCATCGTAGAAAATCTACGAATTCAAATGCCTGCTACGAATACGAAAAAATTGCTATCACTGATTCCGAGTGAACTCGAAAATATCGTTGCCAGCTTCGAATGTTGATTCGAAATCAGCTAGTGCATAGGAAACAATAGACATTTATGTATGCCATTTTGCTCACGCTGCCCCAGCAGTCTCAATGGCCGAGTGAGCAAAGCACTAGACTGCCAATTGAGAGATCCGAGTTCGAGTCTGAGTCGTCGGCAGTGGAGCTTTTTTCTTTTTTTATTTAATTTTTGTTTTTTTTTTTTAATTTTTTTTTTTTAGTTTAGATTGTATTCTTTTAAAGAGAAAACTATTTTTTTAAATTAATTTAAATTTGTATTTTTCAAAATAAATTTATGTGATATTAAAGTAGTTAGATTTCTTTCCTAATAAATTGTTGTTAAACTATTATTTCCTCCCTTAAAAAAAAAAACATTCATTAAATAGCGTCTAGTAGATGAATATATGTATGTACATATGTAGGTATGTATGCCATTTACATATATTTTTCGTCTACGTTTACACAAATATATGGAATTATATCAAACTATAACAGATATGGAGTATAATAAATATTTATTATTAACAATAATGCAGCTTTTCTCCGTTATTTTTAAGATTCAGTGATTTTAAATTTTGTTCCGACAGCATAAACCCGTCGTGGTGTATCTGTACGAATCTTCATTACGAACGGATTCAATGAATGCTCTCTACGAATTTCGAATTTACGTTCGTAGCCATTCGGATTCTCTGATAGCACTTTCGTAGGTTTCACGAAAATCGACGCTACGATGGATTCTGTGATAGCCCTGATAGACATAAAAAACGATAGAGACAAAGATAGAAAGGAAGAAAGTGAGAGGGATAAAAAAGGAGATACAACTGAAGAATGTGCGATGTTATGTTAAGGTGTGTTATGCTACATATGTTATGTTATTTAATCTTATGTTATTGTATGTTATGTTATACTATGAAGTATTATGTTATGCTAAGTACTAAGTTAAACTCCCTTCACCTCAACCCAACTCACATAAACTGTCCTTAATTTTAGCGATTGAATTTCAACCGCTGGGCGAACACTAGTTTATATTAAACATGTAATGCAAGTAACCATAGAAAATAATTCCGCAACAAACTTTTCACGCGTTCAGCGCTTTTCATTCTTGCATTGCTCTATTCAGCTATGAGTTTAATGTTAAGCTGGAATCACACGATTTGTACATTTGGCCAAAAATTTGTCAAATTCGTAGACAAATCATGTGAACGCTAAATTACATTTGTCATTTATCAGAAAAGCCAAATATTTGCCTTCTTGTGGCAAATGAAAAACAACCCTGGTGGCCAAATCGTCTGAACGCAATGCTGCTACATAAGCCAAATAAAAATTACGCAAATGACAAAATATCTGATTTGCCACTTGATGACAAATGCCAGTGACAAATATACAAATATTGTTGAGCGGTATTGCCATTTCGTGCTTGTGAACCTTTGTATTTTCCAATTTTGGTAAAATTTTAATATTTAATATAATATTCGTATCCGAAAACTACCGAAAAATATCACGTTATTTGAAAACAATAATTTTAAAATATTTGCTCGAACTGAACATTTGAAAACATGTACATATACGTATTCGACAGTAGCTGAGTGTGCAGAGAAGCGTGCGACTATTTGTAACCTTCATGAGGTCCCAGGTTCTTATGCCGGCAGACGCACATATTAAGAGTATAAGTAATTTCTGAGTATAATTAACTATGAAAAAGCATATTTGAAGTTCAGAATGAAAAATTTCAGAAAACCAACCGGAAAAGTTTTCGTTTCACAACCCTTCGTGGCACTTTACTATTCACCTATCTTTCAGTTTTCGGATCTCTTTCCGCAGTTGTTGCTGGCTATACACATATACATAGATGCATATCGTCGTATAAAGTACAAAACCGCGTATCGTCATTCTGCAAAATCGCGTAACTGACATTTGCTGCCAAACATTGAATTTGCTTCCAGAAGCTGTTGGCTCAATCCTTATCCATTCGTCCTGAAATATACTATCCAGAAATGCGAATGCTTTATAAAAAAGAGAACCATTTTGAAATATGAGTGTTTTTACTATCTAGATAATAATTTATGCAAGCCGCCTATGCATTTTGTTGATACGGGTTTTGTAATTTAAACGACGGTATACAGATTATTAAAGACGATCTAAATTACACTGTGTGAAAAAAAAAATTTATATAGTTTTTTCGAGGGTCACACTTGTTGTAGGTCTATTCAAGCAGTAAAATCTGCATACTCAGAATTTTAAATACACCCTCAAAATCTGGGCTTAAGGTCAAAAACCGCGTTTTTTCAAAGGGTGACGCACAGGTATACTTGCACGTAACTTTATTTGTTTACCCGGTGAAAAATACGTATTTATGTGTGATTCAAGATGAGACATTTCGCTGCTTACAGCAATGTTTAATTGATAATTTATCTTAAGAAATGGCAAAGGAACCAGTGATCGGACTTACAAAAAATTTGTGTGGTAGAATCTAAAAAAAAGTGGTAGATTTCAAAAACATGTGGTAGATCTCAGGTTTTGGATCAAACTTTGTACAAAAATTAAAAAAAAATCTTCAAGGTTTCTCCTAAATTGCAAACATTTTAATTAGAATCTAAAACAAAATTAATTTTAGTATAATAAAGTGCAAGATTGAAGTTGATAAAAATTGCGTTGGTTTTGGCAATTTTTTTCCTTGACAGTTTCGAACATATTTTGAAAGATTTCTGCAACCTTGCAGAGTGCTGCCAGCTTTTCTTTTTATCACATCACGATGTAGCGAACAAATGTGGCTCGTTCCAGAAATGCTACTTGTGATTTGCCGATTTTGACAATTCTCAAGTAAAAGTAAACAACGCTTTAGAAATTTGAGATGCACTGAAATTTGCTAATGCTTTCACAAACATGGCCGGTTTTTATCATTTTCGCTATTAATTCTTTTTATAAATCATATATTTTGCAATTTAACACAATAAAACCACGTTTGATGTCGAAGAATTGAATATTGAGAAAATTTACTATTTTACAGTTTATTTTATCCTCCCATTCTGCCTCTTGTTAGTGTTTAGTGTTGGAAAATTTTTGCTCTTAAAATTAAGAAAATTATGTTGAGCAAAAATAAAACTACTCAAAAACGCGAATATGTGGTAGATTTCAGACCTTGTGTGGTAGGTGTGCTGAAAAAAGTGGCTGATCTACAACAATGTGGTAGAAGTCCGATCACTGAAAGGAATCTTACAGAGTATATCGATGGCTGAGTGGAAGATCGACCTATCTCGGCAACCAGTTCGAAAACGCCCTATCTCAGAAAATTTTTTAACAACGCGCTATCTCAGAAAATTTTTCACGAACGCCCTACTTCAGAATTTTTTTGAAAAACGCCATATCTTAGCATTTTTGAAATGAATTCTGAGATAGGGCGTTATTCAACCAAATTCTGAAATAGGGCGTTTTTCAATCAAACTTTGAAGTAGGGCGTTCTTGAAAAATTTTCTGAGATAGCGCGTTGTTAAAACATTTTCTGAGATAGGGCGTTTTTCAATCAAACTTTGAAGTAGGGCGTTCTTGAAAAATTTTCAGAGACAGGGCGTTTTTGAACTGGCTTCCGAGATAGGTCGATCTTCCATTCAGCCATCGGTATGCACAATTTAAATTTTTAACTTTTTTTCATTTTAAATTACGACTTGTCCGACTATTTTGTTAACTAGTATACATACATAGGGTACCCATTCTCAAGACAAATTAACCATTTATAAATGGTTGTAAACAACGAAATGTTTTCTCTTAAATGGCATATGTAAGTATTTTTCATCGGGCAAACAGAAAAAAAGTTACGAGCAAGTATATGCTTCAACCTATGAACAACGCGTTTTTTACCTTCAGCGCAGATTTTGAGGGTGTATTTAAAATTCTGAGTACCTGTGCGTATATGTTATTTTTGTTTATATCACTTCAAATCTCACGAAATCATAAATGCAAAAGTATGGTTGACACCGGATCAGCTGTTTAAGTATTTATGACCAAATGGTTAAATCGTGTGAATGAATGTGGACAATATTTGTCACTTTACTGCTGTGCGCAAATGTGTGCCAAATCATTTGGATCTTTGGCAGCCAAATCGTCTGATCGCAAAACAAATCATTTGTACATCGCTATCCAAATGCGCAAATGTGGACAAATCTAAATTTTGGCATTCTGTGTACAAATGTACAAATCGTGTGATCCCTGCTTTAGAGCTTTAGCGCCTCAACCCACAACGCCTGAAAAACCTGCTATGTAGCTTCAGCTTTAAGATCTATGTATATGGGTTTTTCCATGATGTCGGTCATGAAACTCGTACGACTGTAGAGTTAAGTAGTTATACGTGAACGGAAGTCACTTTCGCGTTTTCATAACGAAATTCAAAGCTATAAAGCCAATTTACTTGCATTTTCGGTCTATATTTTTATGGAAACACCCATATATAGCTTTGTTGTTAACGATGTACAAACAAGCGTCTATCGATATTTTTACACAGTAAAAAATTTATAAAAGGACAACGTTGTGAAAATCGGGACCTTAGGCGGGAAAATAAAAAAAAACCGTCAGGACACTTTAATTCGACCCTGAAATCAGGACATGTTCTGATAAATCTGAAAGTCTGGTCGCCCTATGCCAGTTTCGCCAGCGACTTAAGTGAAAAACTAATTTTTCCCTTCTGTCAGGTTTCAGATTTTTTCCTTTCTGCCAGGGGTATACTCGAAATCATGCAAAGCACGTTGCACGCAGCACAGATGGCACGGATTCCATAACTTCCAAACACACAACAACAAAGTGCATAGGAAACTAAATTCTCTATCGCTGCAAAGTATGCCACATCTAGCCCATGCACATATCTCGCTAACGCAACTGCTTCTGTTATGTGAGACTTAATCTTCGCTTTCCTTGTATTTCATAGTTAACTAGTGAACCCCCATGGCGTTAAAACGCCTAAAATTGAACTTTAAACACTAAAAAATATTCCAAATATTAGTCACAGTTATAAGCGATCAAATCACCATTTACCGATAAAAAAGATCTTAAGTAAAAAAATAAAACTTTATCGCACACCTGTAACATTAACATGTAACATTTACAGGTTATGATGTTTAATTTGACCTCTAATTTTTGTAATTCAAAAGCACGCTGATACTTTCCATTTCCAGACAACCGGTCAGGTACGAGCATGATTTTTAATTTCAACCAAACTTAAATACATTGTTTGTTGGTCCAAATAAAGAGACACGTATTTTTTCTTTTGGCTCGGAAAAATTTTTCGGCCGAATTAAACGCGATTTTGTT